TTTCCCCCGTAGACCTATTCCACTAAAGATAAAAATAAATTCTTAATTTAAAAAAATATATATAAAAGAGATTTTCTTAATTAGATTTTCTTGGCCTTTTATGAGAATGAACAATTGATGCAATAATGTAGATAAAAACCACTTTTTGAAAAACGTGTCAGTATTAGTACCTCATGGGTGACATAGAAATCTATTGAAATATTTCCACTTAATAAATTTAAAAATAAAAATTTATTTTAATAAATTTTAATACATTTTTTAAATTTTAATAAATAGGGAGAAGAACCCACTCATAATCAGATAGTGTCGCTCCTAACGCTCGGCGGCGCTGGCCCTAGCGGCTGCGGCGCGCGCGGTAAGAAGAGGAAAGGAGGCGTATACCACGGAAATCGGCTGAAATGTTCAGACTAATTCCGAGCACTGTTATAGATAAAAAAAATTGATCATTGATCAATCATTAAATTATTAAGCTACAAATTTATTGCAATTTTCTTAGCTTGTTTTTGAGATACTACTGTGTCCTTCGTTATTTATTAGATAGGTTTAACTGACGTATCAATATTTACATTAAAATGGAAATCCATACGCATTTCTTTGTCTTCTTGAACTTGTTTCAGTTATTACTTACCTGTAAGTAGAAACGGACACAATGTCAAGCATTAAGATAACTGAAGAAAACCTGTGGCAATATTACGAAAAAGTGTCGGAATACGAAGCAGCATGCAAATTTTGCAGTCTTATATATATTTTCGTCGTTCAAGATATTTTCCTTCTACATGTAAGAGAACAGCATAATGAAATAGCAAGATACGAAGAAACATATAAAGGACAACAAGAATGGCCATGGACATGTTTTAAGTACAACGATACTTCCACTTCACAATGTCTTCTCTGTCGTAAGAATTTTCAATCTGATTTTCAATCTTTAGTACATCATTTACGCCAGAAGCATTTTAAAACTGAAGAAGATTTCGTATCTCACGGTTGGGAATGGAAATATTGTAAGAGAACTAATGATTTTACAGTAGAATGCAGTATACATTCCGACTGTTCTCGCGAATACAATATTAATATACATTACAAATTAAATGAACATATAATAAGTAAACATTCGGGAGAATTAAGAGACGCGCGAGGAATACACGACGTAGTTCTTTCGTCAGAATCCATTCTGAAATTAAATACTATAGAAATTGATAAAAACATGTGGCAATATTATACCAAATTATCGTCTTGCCAAGCAAATTGCAGATATTGCACCTATCAATGTCAATATACGTATATTGAACGCCTTTCTGCGCATATACAACAAGAGCATGAAGCAGTATTTAAATGGGAAGAAACACACATAAAAAGCGAACATCAAGAACCATGGATGTATTTTAAATATTTGTATGCATATATGTCCGATAAAGACGAATTATCCATACCATATGCAAAGTGCCTTATGTGTCGTGAACTGTTTGTGATTACCCCAAACTGCTTAACAACACATCTATCAGAGAAGCATTCTAAGGAAAAACATATTTCCACAAACAACCATTGGGTAATGAAATATTTTAGGCTGGAACAAGAAAAAAAAACTGATGATACTGATAAGACCAAGTGTACCATTTGTTACAAAAACATATTTAATAGTATTAATCCTTCTATGTCCGGACATATAATTAAAAACCATCCGAAACAATTGCAAAGATGCATCTCAAGAAAAAATATGAAAAAACTGTTGTAAAATTTTTTCGTAATTTTATCGTAACAAAAATGCTTGTGATTCAAGTGATATCTCAATATATTTATATTATTAGATGGATAACTAGTATTACAGAACGCACATCGTAAGACATGTGGGTTGGAATACTTGAAATAGTCAAGCACCCATTTTTCCCCGTGTTCTTTTTCATATTTATATGCTTGTACATGCTTTTTTTTTATGTGTTTAATAAAGTTTATTGTACTGATGTAAGAAGATTAAAAGTTGCAATTGTCTTGTCGGCATTTTACTCTAAAAACTTTCAACTTTTCGTGTTAAAAGTTTTTACAGTAAAATGCCGACAAGACAATTGCAACTTTCAATCTTCTTACATCAGTACAATAAACTTTATTAAACACATAAAAGAAAAGCATGTAAAAGCATATAATTATAAAAAAAGACACGGGGAAAAATGAGTGTTTAAATATTTCAAGTATTTCAACCGACGTGTCTTACGATGTGTGTTCTGTAATACTAGTTGTCCATCTAATAATATAGATATATTGAGATATTACTTAAATCACAAGCATTTTCGTTACGCTAAAACACAGACTTTCTCTCCAATCTGGGTACGGAAATATTGTAAAATAACTGGAGATTCTGAAGTGCAATGTAGTATTTGTCGCCACGAAATACTTTTTGACGTTCAGTTATGGCGTTTCGATCGTTACATTGAAACTAAATATCCCGACAAGCTGATAAGAGAGACAAGTACACAGAGTACGGATGACACAGCTGGACCATCAGGAAATCAATCAAACTGAAGAAAACAGGTGACAATATGTTTTATTGATATTACTGTTAACATTTTTATACATAATTAATATTTTACCTTTTTTGAATCGCATTTAATTTAATAAATATGTAATGAGAAAAGTAATAACCAAAGAAATTGTTTTTAATAAATATTAAAATATTTAAAACAATCTACCACATATAAAGGAAAGGCTCAATTGATAAATATCAATTAATATAATAGAAAGGCACAAAGAGCCGTCGCGGGATGTTAGTGCAAAATTATAATTTTTCTTATCTCTATTATATTAATTAAAATATTTACATTTAGGTTTATCCAGAGTTGGACAACCGAATGATGATAATGACGTTCAAGTAGCATCAACCAACGATAACGACAATTTTAATTTTGACGACTCAAATAATTTGAAGTACACGAGAAAAGTGGCATGTCTTTTTACGTATAATTATTCCTGACGTATAATTCGTTTTACGTTTATAAATTATAAATATGTTTATAAAACTATGTGTCACATAGATAAGAAAGTTACATTTTTAAAATTTATTAAATACGTTAATAGATTTTGTTAATGTTCTATGCTTTCGAATTTTCTATACTTCATAAATTTATAAATTATGTTTATAAATTTATAAAGTAAGACAATTTTATGAATTAATTATCGACTTTTCCGTA